AGCATCCTCGTTAAGTGGGCCTGTTGCTTTTCCGTCTCTCCCCCTGCGAAAAAAAAAGAAAAAAAGAAAAAAAAAAAGGTAACGACTCCTCTAGTCAAAACAAGATTCACACCAGTTCATAGCCAGAACAAAACAATAGAAAAAATAGAAAAAAAAAAAAAGGAGACTCCCATCCTGGAATCTTCTGAAACTACATAAATTAATAAATAAATTTAATTTAAATTATAGATTCCATATTGTGAGGAATGAGCCCTCAAGAAGGGGCCTTGCCATGATGTACATGTTCTGGGCTAAGGCCCCAGCAAGCCTCGTGCCCGCCCTAAGTGAAGGGGCCTTGCCATGATGTACATGTTCTGGGCTAAGGCCCCAGCAAGCCTCGTGCCCGCCCTAAGTGAAGGCGGGCCAACAAATCAACAATAGCCCTCTGTGCATACACTTCACGAAGTGGGGTCCTTACAGTTGCAGCACGCCAGTTGGTTGGAGTGCACCGAGTTTCGGATTTCAGCAAATGCTGAAATGCCCAGGGCCTCTGAGTTAGTTAGGCCCTGGGCTCCTGAACGTGAGGCCGACAATGCACGCTGGGTATAGAGGCCGAAAATGCAAAGGGAAACCGGCCCACTGTCTGAATCTGGCCGCAGGCCTTGACGAGAGAGGCACAACTGCATCTCCCGGGCCCCAACTGTAATGGGCCTGGGATCAGCCACTGGGGCACTGTCGGAGGCTGAAGGGAGGCCGCACACTCGCTGCATTGGCATATAGGCAAGCAGGGCGAGGCAGCGGGGATCTTGGCCAATGCTGGCACTTGCGGGCACGCTGCGCGGATGCATGTGTGCTGCGCTGTGCAAGGCAGTGCTGCGCTAAGAGCAGGCAGGCCAGCGCTAGGCGGTAGGGCGCTGCCTGCATACAGGGCGCTTGGCGGCCATAGCCGGGCTGCAGAGGGCGCAGGGGGGTAAAGGGCGAAGGTGGTCTTCGGAGGTGAAGGGCGCTGTGTGGGTAACAAGGGAGAGTGTGGGGAAGATGACACGTACCTGATGATGGTGGAGATCGTCATTGGTGTTGACATCATCACTCGCTGGTAGTCAAGTTGTCTGGTTGCTTTTCATTGCTGTAGTTGTAGGATAGGCTGTAGAGTAGATAGGGCGCCTGGCGCCATTCACAAGAGAGAGCTACATTTGGGTTATGCTGTTGGTGTTGCCCTGTTGGGCATGGACATTGACTCACGATTCTTCTGTATSATTCTCAATTGGATGGTTACTCGGTTCCATTGTACTATCTGCTTTGGCTTTGAATACTTGGACTTCAGTGTGATATTGCATTCCGGATTTCTGTGCTTCGTCCATACTCATGTTCCTTGCAATATCGATAATACTTTACTAAAACAACCCGAAAAAGGGGAAAAAAAACACATGCATATTGAGTATTATTGACTCATATTGTGTTATTGAAAATTCACATACCTGCGTGGAGCCGAATGCTCATTTGCAAAAAGAACGCCTCGTGCTGCAATGGAGCCTGACGCGGCAATGACAAGTTGCGACGGGTCAATGTCACTGTGGTCCAGGGCCGAATACGCATCTCCGCGGCTGCTCCACCGACTGGAACGGCCGCTCAGAAGCCAATCCGCGTCGCTCAAGTAATGAAGGACTTCCGCAGCGTCATCGATCGCCTCCTCATCGATGAAATCCAAGACTGCCAAGGACAACGAGGACAAACAGACAGCAATATATTTTAATTACTTTTTTTTTTTTTTTTTTTTTTTTTGGAGAACCCATGCCTGTTCACCATTTTGTGAAGAGAAATTTTAAATTTAAGAAATTTAATACTTAACGACGACTCAATTTAAATCTTGACGAGTCGGGTCCTGGAATGCCTGCCGACGTATTTTAGTATTTTACTATTTTCCCAATATTTGCCTCGACGGGGCCCTAGATAAGGTTCACTCCCCCTGGTACCACACCCAACCCACATGGTACCGGGTAAGGCGCTGGGGCAGCCTGGCGCCAGAAAAAAAAAAAAAAGAAAAAAAAAAGAAAAGAAAGAGCTTCTGAAAAAAAATCCGGGAAAAAGGTGTTATGCAGAATTCCAAATGAAACGACTTTGTTTCTTCGAAGTAGAATAGAGAGAGAGGGAGAGAATTGAACCGGGTACCTATTTGTGAATTGCTACGAAGAGTACCTACCGGGAACCTGACGAGTTGGGACCGGAACTTGGGTGTACTTGTATTTTTGGGACATGCAGCAGTCGTTTAGTAGTGTGATTAGCGGCACCGAGACTATAAGTACAGCTAGTCTTCTTACGGGGGCGCTCGCAAACCGCAAACGCTAATCTCGATTAGCGCTAGTGGTAGCATACGCAGGTCGGATGTGGTTTGCATGGAGGATCACGGGGTTGTGGGAAGGTGCTTGAACCGTAAAAAAAATTCTAACAATTGTACTTCGTCAATCTCACGAGTATGACATGTTGTTGGCTACCCGTGTGAGTTACATCATCATACTACTCTGAAACTCGTTATTACATTGAAATTTGAAAATAAATAAATAAATAAATAAATAAGAAATAAAATTAAAAACCTAAATTATCTCACACCCCACAGGGCCACCTAAGGCAAGATGGCAAGACAACACCAAATTCAAAGGTAAGGTCGGATTTGGGCACATCCCCCCTCCCCGCCCCCCCCCCCTCTCCTTTATATTTTGGCTTGCCAGGTGAACCAGGCAGGTGCATCCTCCAGGCTGGCCCGGTCAGGCAAGTGGTCCCGGGCCTCTCTGATAGATAGCCTAGTGACGGACACTCATACTAGGGGCTGACCATCCTCTGACCGAAAAAAGGGAAAAAAAAAAAAGAAAAAAAAAAGGAGAGAACTTCAGAGAAGTTCAAAGGACAAAGACAAAAATTACCATTCTCATGCAGGAAAGCGATCACTCTCCCCGTCTCCTGGTGTGCCTGTGACAGAATTGCCTCAGGCTTATCCATGGCAAGTGGAAGCCTTCGGAACCTCTCCGCGACTTGCGCTTCCTCACCCAGATCTGCAGCACAGACCAATCGCAGGGCCAACCGAACAGTCCATCCAATGGCTCAGAAAAAAGGTAAAGGGAGAGCAACCACCACCAGGCGGCAAGAGGAAGACGAAGACGAAGACGAAGACGAAGACGAGGTTCCTCTGTGTGTGTGTGTGTGTGTGTGTGTGTGTGTGTG